CCTGAGAAATGAGAACATGAAGCGCTGCTCTTGAGATAAACTGAAACTGAAGCCGATGCTGCATAAAGTACCGACAGGAGAACCGATGCAGACGGTTCTGAAGACGTCTGAGCTGCTGTTGGGTGTTTGTGTGGAACCCCGAGGACCCTAGCGGAGAACCCACCTTGTGGAACCGGTGGAGCGGCGGGTCTCTCCGGCTGGGCCGGAGGTCTCGGAGGATCCCTGGACTGATGCCTGCTGCCCAGACGGGACAGCCGTCGGCTGAGCCGGCCCGGACCGCCGTCGTCTCCACTTCCTCTGCAGGCAGGAACCACAATGAAACAACAGGGAACGTTCTCACAGCACGGGGTGACATCACCGCGAGTTCTGGTCACCTTGTTTTAAGCAGAACACTCTAATAAAATGTTCCAAGAAAATTAATAAAATGTTTTCATGTCAACGTTCAGAGGATGTTGTCAGATGATGTTCTATGATAACAAAGAAAGAACGTTCTCAAACAACACTGAAAAATGGTTCTCACATGATAAATATAAATAAAACACTCCTGTAATGTGGTTTATTAAACGTTCTGCCTGCAACGTTCTGGGAATGCTTTGGGGATGTTGGTGAGGAACACATTATAGAACGTTCTCCTGTAAGAACGTTCTCACAATTTTTCTGTTAGAACAACGGAACAACGTTCTCAAAGCAACGTTTAAAAATATTTTTTCCAGATGCTATTGAGACCTCAGATGGCAGAACGTTCTTCATAGGACGTTCCCTCACTGCGACATGTCAACAGCGGTGGAACATTGAGGCTCTGAGGATCTTGAGGGAACGTTGTCGAGGGAACACGTAACAGAATCAGAAAATCGCTCCAACCTGGTTCCACAATCTTCCATGATAACAAAGATAGAACGTTCTCTTTATGGTTGCATTAAGAACATCCTTTGTGAGAACATTTTATAGATTTATTTTAAGACCTCAGACAGCAGAAAGTTCTTCACTCGACGTTCCTGTTCTGTGATATATTCACGAAATTCTAACGTTCCACCTGCAAAGTTCTCGGGATGTTTTGAGGGCATATAAAACGTTCTTCTGTTCCACATTGTTCCACGATAACAAAGTAAAGCGTTCTCAAACCAATGTTCATAAAAAATGTTCTCCAGATGTTATCGTGGCCTCGGACTAAAGAACGTTGTTCATACAGAACAATGTAGAACATTCCTGTAACACAACATACTAAAGGTGGAACGTTTCCTGTTTGGGGGATGTCGTTGAGAGAACACACTGTAGAACGTATAAACCGTTCCCACAATGTTCTGCAATCTTACACGACAACAAAGGAAGAACGCTGCGGCATAACGCTCTAACAATATTCTCACCAAACGTTTAAGGAACGTCTTTAGTTGTGCTGCCTTTAAGAGGAACATTCTTGGAACTAGAAGAAAACTTCCTGCTGAGAACGTTAGAGGAACTCTGCAGAACTTCCCCAGAACGTTGTTGAAACTAAAACACATTCAGCACTGACGTCCAATCAGCATCCAGCATCCTCAAAGATCCACCTTCAGAGCTTCAGTGAGAGTTTCTAACGTCAGATTTGTTCTTCTTCCACTTTCTCTCTAATCTACGACCCACAACTTCACTTCAGCCGCCTCAGATGTGGAACCCTACATTAGTGGAACCGCTTTGGAAGGAGGTCTGACTTCTCATCGCAGCTCACAGAAGACCAACTGATGGACCGGACAGTCCAAACACTCGACTCACCACATCAGTCATTCACACACATCAGGAACCAACAACTTCAGAGCTCTCAGACCTCAGCGCTTCATCCACGAGCTTCTACATCTTTCATTTCTCTTATACATCCTCTGAGAGTGTTGAAGTGTGGCGGGAAAAGTGCCATTTTCTGTAAATGTTAAAGGAAGCTGAAGCCCTGAACCAGTCTTACCCCATGTCATTGGCCTCTGGAGGCTGAGGGCTGTTGTTTCGCCTCCTGCAACGAGCAAACAGACCAGAGTTAGTGGACGGACGAATGCTTCACAGGATCGCTGGTCCAGTTCAGTCCAGAGGAAAACATCTGCCATTAGACGTCTACATTAATGGAGGATAAATACAAAACACTGTGTTTTCATTGGTGTGATAAGTTTGAACTCTGGGAACAAACTGGAGGCAGGAGTTTCCATTTTGTGCAGCTTTTTGTTTTCACTCGCGACCAAAGAGGGAAACACTGTGCTTTTTACTGAACTACTTCATGAAGGAGAAAACTTTTCCTGCCAAGTTCAAACTTTAGTTTCAATTCAAGGTGAAGAACTTCAGTCAGAAGCTTCTGGAAGTTCTCCTTGTCGCTCTCAGTACTTGTTGACACGTGAGGTAAACTTTGCTGACAACACTTGCACACCTTTATTTGGACAGTCGAGCGTTTCTGCAGCTCGATCGATGACCTGAATCTCATCGCTCCACTGACCCCGTTGTGTTTTTGTGTCTCGCTCGGCAGTTCAGCCTGAAGCGTCTGGAAGTTTCCTGCTTCTGTTTCATCGTCCTCTGCTCTGACTTCTGGCTGTTTGATGCTCAGACTGGGCTCGTCAGAAACAACATCTACGTGATGCAACATGAGTCGTGGTCAGCGGCGACTCGGGAGGTTTTCATTTGCACACTTGGGCTCCACAATTTTTACACTCTGACGGGCACATTCACAGTTATCCTGTCGTTGACTTTTAGTGCGTAGCTCCGGTTTCGTTCCTTTAAATATCCTCCGGCGCCCACAGAGACGTCTGAATCCCTCCTGACAGACCTACAGTAAGCCTGCTGCCGTGGCTGTCCCTGAACGCCTCCCACACTCTGAATCACGGACTAACGTGAGCTCCGTGTGCGTTTACGGCGTTTTTATGGACGTTTTACCGTCACGGCTTCACTGTGGTTCCAGGAATCACATTAACGAGGGTTTTTCAACATGTTAATGTTTAAAAAAAGCATAAAAAGGAACTTCTGTCATTATCTAAACACTCAGCAAACCGCTAATAAAATCATGTTCAAGCTAAACTGCACTCAGGGATTTAGCTTTTCCTCTGCAATCACAGCCTTTTTCATTCACGGCTCACTTCAGGCCAATAATACTCACAGCTGAGTATTTGTATTGTAATACTGCTGCTTCTACTTAATCTGAATACTTCCTCCATCGCTGCACCTCTTCAGTAAGGCTGACCTCGTTTATGTGACATAAACACATGTTTTAAAGGGAATACTCATAAAAAATGAAGAATAAAGTAAATATTTCCACATCGTTTTTTCCTTAATTATCACATTTATAAAGACTAGATGGAAAATCTGGACGCTCAAGTTGCTCCATTGTTGAAAAAATCCAGTAATCAAGTCAATTTCAATAAGTTCACATCAACTGGAGTTCAGTTTAAAGTCAATAAATGCAGAAGTTTGAGTTCAAATTATGCACATTTTTAAGTTGATCTATCATCATGTCAACACGACCCAATAAGATAATGTTTTAAAATGTGTCTCGATATCGATAAAGTCGATTTTTTTGTTTTATCTCAGTTTTTAATCTGATTACTTATAAAAGTTAAGTTAAGTCCAGGTGGTGGTTCAACATCATTTAAAAAGAAAAATGTAGTTATAAGTTCCATCAACTTTCATTGAGTTTAAATCGACTAATCCTGAACTTTTGATGCAACCACCAACATATTTAGGTCAACACGACTCAACAGAACAATGCTGGCAACTGCAAAGGTTTCTCTAAATCAATGAAAGTAGATTTTTTTCCATCTTGCAGCCTGCATTTAATCATTTATAGTGTTTTCCTGCAGTCAAAGCAGCAGTTTAGGTCAGAAAACACGACGACACTGAAGCTCTGTCTGGGCTGACGCGTCATAACGAGAAGATTCAGTGTTCAAAACAAACAGGTTAAACTCTGCATTAAATTACATTCAAAATACTGTTTGGGTTTAATAAAAGAAACTAACGGTTTGCAGCAACCTTCTCATGAAGTTCTGTTCAACCACCGGACCACGCTGATGTTTCAGCTTTTCCTCTGAAATCCACCGACTGACTTAAAGTTTTGTAGCATAAAGTCACGTTTTTAAGCTAAAAACACGTAAAAATGAGGCTGTTCAGAGTCATTTCTATGTTAATTAAAAGGCAACTTTAAGTGTTATGAACTTTATTATCATATCTATAAAGACAATCTGAGAAATCTGGACGATGAAGATGCTCTAGCGGTAAAACGTGACCTGAACCTCATTTATTAGGTTACATCAACTTGAATCCAGGTTTAAACCAACGAATGCACTAGTTTGAGTTTAAATTACACACAGGATTAAGCAGAGGCAACATATTTATGTCAATACAACTCATCTGAATCATGTTGGCAACTTAAAAACCAATAAAGTCGTGTTTTTGTTCCTTTAATGACTTTTTAGAGCGTATTCATGCTGATAAACCACCAGAGTCGCCTCCTACAGAAAACATCGAGACACTGGAGCTCTTTCTGAACCGACACGTAATAATGAGAAGGTTCAGCACTTCAGTGGCGTAAAAACAAGAAAGTTGAAGCAACACTGGGCCTGACTGCACCTTCCTGTACGTCTGAGCGAGCATCGGGGGTCGTTTCCTGTTCTGGGTCTGGCAGGTGCCTCCTGAAACAAAGCTGTTGGGTTGTGCTTCTCACCTGGAAGAGATCTTCCTCAGCAGACTGGACCCGAGGCCTCCCTCCAGCCTGTCCGTCGGACCGAGCAGAACCCTACGAGGAACTCTGAGCAGGAACCGTGTGGCGCTGCGGCTGCTCGGGGAGTCGAAGTGTCTGAGCGAGCATCACCGTCTCTTCAGCCAAACCGACACCTCGCTCACTTCCTGTGCCACTTCTCTTTCTCGCTGTTTGCGTCTTTTCCGCATCTCGACGCTCGTCAGCCCACAGAGTTTCACTGTGACGCTGAAACCAGCTTCACGGCTTTACAAGCAAACAAACAGACTCTCCGGCAGGACCTCGACTAAACCCAACAGTCCAGGGATGAGCTCTGAAGTCTGCAGCCTTCTTCCTTTTTAATACATAAAATTAGACTTTATGATGTCGCTTTAGTTTGACACCGAGTTCAGGAAATTAGCTTTTCCTCTGCAATCAGCTGATTGACTGCAAGACGAGCAGCATTAATACGTGTTTAAGCCGATAGCTCATAAAAATTAAGTTGTTCAAGCAGCATTTCTTCATTATTTAAGAGGAAGTTTGCTCAAATGTTAAAAAAACAACCTTCAGGTGGTGAAAAACGTCGTTATCGAGCAGATTTAATTAAATTACATCAACCTGAAATCAGTTTTTAAATCAACTGATCCTGAAATCTGAGTTTAAATTACACATAATATAAAGTTGATGGTATTTTCCTCAATCAACTGATTTACTTCAAGATTAGCATCATAAACACACGTTTATAAGCTGATAATTCATAAAAATTAACATTATTTAGAAGGAAATTTTAAGTGTTAAGTTCTTAATTATCATATATAGAACGACCAAATGGCAGATCTGGAAAAATGAAGTTTAAGTTTAGTTTCTTAATGAAGTTTTAAAACTATAAAGAAAAATGTAGTTATTGAGCCAATTTCATTAAGTTTTTAAGCTGATAAATAAAAATAGGTTTAAATTCAAGAGAAGTGTTTCTATTTTAAGCAGCTTTATACTTCGTTAGCAAATCTGGGAAACTAAGTTGTTCTGGTGTCAAAATCACGACCTGAAGGTGATAAAAATGTCGTTATCGAGCTAATTTAATTAAATTACATCAACTTGAATTCAGCTCTTATATCAACTAGTCCTGAAATCTGAGTTTAAATTACACGTAATATAAAGTTGATGCAATTATTGATGTTATTATGTGGACATGTTGAACGTTGTTCAGCTGAACTCAGAGGAACCAGAGGAACCAGACGATCTGAAGCATCTGGTTTGATGATCATCAAAGATCTGAGCAGCAGAACACAGAAGCTCATGTAAAAGAAATAGAGTTCAGAAATAAATACATGTTTTTATTTCCTGGTATATTTTCATATTTTTGTGCCTATGTTTACATTTTTAGTAGGGACGGACCGATTATTGTGGCTGATGTTTGGCATTTTTCCAATTATCTGTTATTGATCGATTATTGATCAATTGAATGCTCTGCTTTGGTTCTGATGCAGCTCGTCTCTGTCTCAGGTCTGAGAAATGTTTACAAACAGAGGCTGGAAAAAACTGAAGAAGAAACGCGAACCAGGAAGTTAGCTCCTCTCACAGCGGCTAATGCTACGCTAACGGCTAGCGGCTACGTTAGCAGGCGGCCACAGATTAACCTGAAGCAGAGTCTGGGAAACAATAATCAATATTGAGATCTGGACCTTGGCGGGCGATAAAAAAAGTTTTTAAAAAGTAGTGAGGAGCAGCAGGAGACAAACTGATCGATCTCAGCCACATAAACAGATCAGAGCGTCCTGATTTAATCACTGTTTATATTTTATGGAATCTGGAGACATTTTGAGTCATTTTTGTTGAATTTCAAGTCATTTTTGACATCGTTTTTAACCATTTTTAGACTTTTTGAGCCACTCTGGAAGAGCTTTTCACCATTTTGGAGAATTTTAAATCACTTTGGAAAAGTTTTGAGCCATTTTAGAGGATTTAAAGTCATTTCATCAAAGTTTGAAGTCGTTTTTGAAACACTTTTCCAATCGATCCTGTATAAACTGCTGTCACCCGCTGATCAAACATCACATTTCATGTATTTTAGCTCCAAATACCGGCCGTCTGTCTTTCTCACCAACAATCGGCATCGTGTTGGTCGATGCCTAATTTTCAGAACAGATTTATCTTCTCGTGTTTATCTTCTGTCTCAAAATGATCAGAATGGGACTAATGTCTCCTCTGGGGTCGATAAAATATTTCTGATTGTGATTCAGAATTGGACCCAACAGCAAAACTTCTGCCTCCCGACATGAATGAATCCAGAAACTTGGTCACCTCAGCAGGCGTTTATTCAACCACATCACTCGCAGCATTTCAAACACTGTGTCCGTCGTACTCTTCCACTCCAACACAACCAAAAGCAACCAGCTGGCTCCATGATCAGCGCCTCCGTCTCCTCTAGACTATGAAGCTAAAACACTTTCGTTATTCACTCGCTAAACCTGCTGCCGACCCTCAGCTCTCCCACTCAGACAAACCGGCGTGGTGGAAGTTGCTCACATGTACACTGATTCCTGCGAGACAAAGAGTTCTGAGGTACATATCTGTGATTTTCATGACGAACTCTCAGGCTCCGTCGCCGTGCTCAACGCTGCCCCCTGCTGTCAGAGTTTGGAGAACTGAATGAGGTTCCTGTTGATCTCAGCGACGTTCCTGCACCCTGGATCACAGAAAACATGAAATGCTGCTGCAGTTTGTTCAAGTCATGGCTTTTGTGTTCTTTAGTTTCAGACTCTGAAGCTGACCTGACAGAGCCATGGACAGACGGAACTCGTCGTTCAGGATCTGTAGAACCTCCCTCACTCCTTCCTCGCCCTGAAAGTTCACACAAACAAAAACACTGTGAATAAAAAAAAGACTGTAACCCTGTCATCTTTTAATGGGGACTTTTAAGTCTTTGGGGTGATTTTGATGATTTTTGAGGTGATTCTGTGTCTTTTTGTTTTGATTTCACCTCTTTTGGTGAAGATTTAACCCTTTATGTGCTGATTTTGTGTTCGTTTGTACTAATTGTTGCTGTTTGGTCAAAATACGATTAATTAATGACAAAACCTCTCATGAATTAGATGATTTCATTAATCGCATCCCACCACTAGTTTAAAGGTTTTGAAAGATCCATCCATCATCTCTACACCTTCATCCTCACCAGGGTCATGGGGGGCGGAGTCTATCCCAGCTGACTCAGGGTGAAGGCAGCTTCACCTGGACAGGTAACCAGTCTATCACAGGGCTACACTTAGAGACAGACAACCAAGCACACTCACATTCACACCTACGGACAATTTACAATCACCAATTAACCTCAGCATGTTTCTGGACTGTGGGAGGAAGCCGGAGAACCCGGAGAGAACCCACGCTGCACGGGGAGAACATGGAGACTCCACGCAGGAAGATCCCAGGTGTCCTCACCGGGACGCCAACCGGCGACCTTCTAGCTGTGAGGCCACGGTGCTAACCACTGATCCACCTGCAGTCCTGTTCTGGAAGGTGGAGCAGCAATAAAGTTCATCATCACTATAATCTCGGTACCTTGTATGCGAGGCCCCACACCGCCGGACGGCCGATGAACACACACTTCGCTCCCAGGGCCAGAGCTTTGAGGACATCGCTGCCGGTCCGGATCCCTCCGTCCACGTAGACCTCGATCCGGCCCTGAACCGTGTCCACAATCTCTGACAGCGCGTCGATCTGTCGGCGACACGGGGAAGCTATAACGAGGACAGCACTGGACTGAAAACATTACAAACAACCTGCTGGGTTTCACTCGACTATGACATGCTTACTAGCTACTGCTCGGGTTTATCAGAACCAAACACTACGAGCACACTGAAGAACAGTCTGACAGACTGGGAAACACTCAGATGAGAAGACGGATGCATCTCTGTGGTGCTGCTCAGCTTTACAGGGAAACTGCTCCGTCATAGTCGTTCTGTGTAGTTTTAGATGCACAAACACTCCAAAGGTCACAACACCAACCATCAGAGGCGTCACTGAGGCCGAAGTGTGGCTGTGATGAGCTGGTTGTCGGACTGAACGCACATGAGTTAAAGCCTCATCGGCACCACAGCACACTGTGTGACAGGGACGGATGTGGAGGCAGATAAGAGCTGCTGGCAGAGCGCTGGGCAGACGTGACCTCGGCTTGTTGGAGGAACTCTGACAGGATTTAATGAACGACGCAGATAAACTGACCGAAGAGCAGAATGTGATTTTAACGAGGCCAGTCTACGGCAGGGAGCACTGATAAGCTAAAACATCAAGACCCAGGGTGTTCTACGCTGTACAGACTGACGGTCGGTTATGAAAACAAGACAGCTTTTAGTTTAGGCTCTGCAGCAGAACGCCTGTTAATGAAAGTGAGCGAGTGAATGATGATCATGAAGGTGTTGTGGTGTCGCTGCCTTCTGTCTTCATGTCAGTCTGTCACCGTCTGATGCGTAAAGCGAGCCGTTAGCTGTTTGGTGTTCTAAAGATAAAGAAGTCTGGAGCTCATTATCTAAAAAATAATGAATAAAATAAGTTTTGAGTTCAGGTGCAGGCAGGAAGATACCGACTGAACCGGTGAAGGAAAAATGCAAACATTCAGCTACAGACGGCTGCAGAACTAAATGAACATTAATCTGATCCTGACTGTAGCTTCCACAGCTGCAGGATCTACATTTGAAACGCAGTCAGAGGAAACGTGTGATAAAGTCCCTCATTTTGAACATGTGTGACGTCAGGACGCCGTATTTCACTCTTTTAAAGTCATTTTTGTTCACACGTCCTGTCTGACAGAACTGCAGCCTGAAATGTGATGTGTTTAGGGAACGTCGGTAAAGCTAGCGTCCACCAATAAGCACATGGGTCAGGCGCCACCTCAGAACCTTTTCTTCCTTTAGTGTGATTACTACAGTTGAACCTGAGCAACCCATTAGCGTCACGTGCAGCACCTCATCTCCTCAGTCAGCTTTGTATTTATGTTATATTTGAATATATTTATTTCACATTTACCAATATTCATCTCATCATCTGATTGATGGAGATGCTTCGGTTTCCTGTTTCAGTCCATTTACTTTATGAAGGTTAAAGTTAGATGACGACTACATTTCTGTCGTAGGCTTTAGTCGACGCTACGTTGCGTCCACACCCTGATTTTATAGAAAAACAGCTTCGGAAGTTGCAAATAGCCCCTGAATAGTTGACAATAAGCAGTTTCCATGTTGTATATGTGTTTACATGTCCCTGTGTTTATCTCACTGTGTGATTACTGATTTCCATTTTCACCCTAACCCTAAGAAGAGCAGCACTCTGATTCTGGCTTCGTCTGAGCTTCACGTCTGAATAATAAATATGTTTTACAGAGTTTTCAACACAACACAGCTCCAGTAGAGCGTCTACACCTCTACATGGAGTTTGTACCCTTAAAGCCAACGACACATAACGAGGTAAGAGTTGTGTCCATCTTCTCATCTAAGTCCTGGAAAGATCTACTGATGTAACAACAATGGAGAGTGCTGCCACCAGGTCCCATAACTGTGACCATTTAAAGCTCTGTGATGGATGTGTTGTGAGACTACCGAGGCCGGCCCCCCGTCCAGCTGCCTCCCGCCGTGGTTGGACACGATGATGCCCTGGACGCCGTGCTCCACGGCCAGCTCGGCGTCCTCCTTGGTCAGGATGCCCTTGATGATAACGGGAAGGCGGGTGATGGACTGCAACCAGTGGATGTCCTTCCAGCTGATGGAGGGGTCCAGGGTGTTGGCCGGTATCCCGTACTCCTCGGGCCCGGCGGTCTCCTGCTGTGAGAGCATGTGGTACAGCTTATAGAGCAGCTGCACTTCACCGCTAAACCTTCCAGTACATTCCATCATCTCTGGAGTCCGCCGATGACGAACCGTCTTACCACGTAAACGCCGAGTTTGACGACGTGGAGTTAAAATGACAGATAGCATCGTTTTGACAGGTCAGAATTACTATTTAAAGATATCTGAACCTTCACTCTGACTGCACACTTAGTAATAATATTTAAAATGTCATCCTGCACGATACCGTAAGTAACGGTTCAGGCACGAGGAGGAGGACGTTGGAGACTTGAGATCAAAACTAACCAGAACTTCAGCTGATAAAACAGCTCGTCAGATCTCTGCGACGTCAGAACTCCAGCTAGAGATCCTCCAGCATCTTTCTGACCAGTTCAGACTCAAGTTAAGAACATAAAAATGTAGAAATCCTGAACTGGAGGGAATTAAAGACGTCTTGAGCAAGAACTACGACTAAACAGAATCAAAGCGTAGAAACCTGAAGCTGGAGTTACAGCTCGTCATATTTAATGTGATGCAAACTACAGATGTCAGCAGCTGAACTGCACATAAATCATGACATGATCTGTCCTCTACGAATGAAAGCTTCACTGAACTACAGATCTCTATGGTACACATCCAGTGTAGCCATTAAATGATCTGATTTATTGGAGTCCAACTGGTGCACAAACACACTCTTGATTACTGCAGTGGACTAATTAACTATCAGGTCACACATTCAGCATTTTCTTTTCGTTACTGGTTTTAAACAGCTTTCTAAGAACCCCGGGGTGGGTCTCAGCGTACCGCCCACGGCTCTACCTGAGTGTTAGTTGAAGTAATTACCAGCGATCAACACTTCAGTACCGATGGTGAACACGTATCTTCTAGTTAAACATATCTAACATACACAACAGACAGAAGACGTTCACTTGAGTTTTGTGTTGGAGTTTGTGTTCTTCTACATTTTCACTTTACTGTAAATGTTGTTGGTGTTTTTGATGACAAATAGGGAGAAGTGATGTTTTAATTAAACGTATATAAAATGGTAAAAATTTGTCTTTTAGTTAAAAACAGTGAAATATAACAAACAAACAGAGGAAGCTCCCTGGATTCTTTGGCTGGAAGTTTGTGTTATTCTGAATTCTGACACCAAAAAAGTCTAATTTTACGTCATTGATGTCCTTGATTATAAATAATCAGCATCGACCCTTAAAAAGCCGAATCAGCTTCGACTGATGCTCATCCGATAACTGACAATGCTGTGTGGTTTCTATGGTAACTACGACACTAGGAGCACACGGAGTCTGGGTGTTACACGTGTGTGCAGCTCTGGATATAACGTGTAGAAATATTTCACTGGTCACACAAATAACTGACCTAAAGGGTCTCAAGCTGTGTGCAACATGTCATAGTTAATTAACAGTTAGTTCTAATTGTATCTAACGTGAACAATACGAAGATAAAATCCATCGTTTCAGATTTAATGCTACTCAATCATGTAGCTTTCTTGTTTTTTAATTCTGTGATGTGCTTTTAATTTAATCTCATCTCTGCCTTAATGCATTAGATTTTTCTGCTATTTGTTTTTAAAGAAGAAGAAGAAGAAGAAGAAGAAGAAGAAAAGCCTCCCGTTACCTGGAACACTCCGTCAAAGTTCTTGACCTTGAGGTGCGGCGGCAGCTTGAACTGGTTGCGGATGTCGTTGCGGCGCTTCCCGGTGTACGGCACGTCGACGGTGAGGACCAGCGCCTTGTAGCCGAGGCCCTCCACCCGGTGCACGATCTGCTCCGACAGCTTCCTGTCCCGGTACACGTACAGCTGGAACCAGCGGTAGCCGTTGGGCGCCGCCGCCACGATCTCCTCCACGGAGCAGGTGGAGTAGGTGCTGGTGATGTAGCAGGTGTTCAGGGCCTCCGTGGCTGCGTGGCACAAGGTGAGATGGTTCAGGGTCACTGCAGGTGACTGACACACTGAATGCAGGTGAGCGGTTCGGTGGAAGCTGCAGACTTTGGGAGCAACTGGGAGCCTTTTATAAATGCAGGAACAGCATTTGTAATCAGATAGGATACGTTTTGCTTTTACTTGACAGTAAAGAAGCTGGTAGGAAACACAGAGTGGGCGCCATGCAGGAAAGACAACGTCAGATTGGTGCAACTGCAATTATCTGCACACAGTTTAACTATCCTGCTAAAGTCAAAGTGCTAATTAGTAGAGGATTAGTTCAATTCAATTAACTTTATTAATCCCCGAGGGGCAATACAAAAGTTCACCAAGTATTTACTATAAAGACATACAATAATAGTAATAATAACAACAATAATAATAATAAACAATAAACCACATCATAAATATGACATTATATTACACTGGCATCGGCAGGGAGGTCAAAGATGGCTGAGCATTTAGAAGGAGGACGGCTCTGGGAACAAGAGTCGCCTCCTTCTGTGAGTCCGGCAGCCTGAGCAGTGAAGCAACGTCCAGAGGGGAGCCACCAACGATTAAACTAAAGACGAACTAGATTAAACTCGCTATAAGGCAGGAAGACGGTGATGTGTTTCCATAAGCTGACATCCTGTTGCTTTGACTTTTTGATTATAAAGAAAAGCAGAAACACCTCCACTGTGTTCTCTGTGCAGCACCAGGCTGCTGTGGTGCTCAATGCTTCCATCTAGTGGTGACTGTGGATACTGACATCAGTGCTGGTTTAAAACCTTCAAACCCTCTCAACTCACTCAGGTTGACTTTGTGATTAGTTTCTGCTTTTTTACTTTATTTTTTATTGTTAATTTAATCCTGCTTTACCACCCTTTAGTTATTTACTCATTTATTTAAATGATTCACTATTAGCTTTGTGTTTATGGCTCTTTCCCTTACATGGATGTGATATTTTATCATTTTATCTGGTGGTGTTGTATTATTTAAAAAAAATCTTTTATCATGTTTGGACTGAGTCTGTAAAAGGTGCTATACAAAGAAAGCTATTATTATCATTATTATTATTACTATTATTATATAAGAGTCTATAATAAGTCTAAGTCACACATAAAAACTCCTACCATGGAACAAAGCACATTAACAACCTAAACTTGGCCATTTTAAACAGTAGATCTTCATATCCACTTATAACTGGAATACTCCTCTTTCTTTGTCCCTGTAGAGTTTCTACAGGTCAGTGTAATACAAAGCCTCTTCCTCTTGTTTTCACTACTTCAGCTCATCTTTACTGTCTCACCTTAAAGCAACCTGCTTTTGCTTATAGCTCAGACATCATTTGAGTTTTTAGTTTATTTGTGCTTCCGAAGCCACGACATCATCATCTGGGCTTTACCAAATATATAGGTATAGTAATGTTAGTGGATGGAAACTTCTGACTCTGTAGAAAGTAATGAAACATTCTCTCTCTTATTATTCTGGCGTTTAGCAGATAGACATTATGTTGGTGATCCTGACTGAGCTGAAACAGGAAACGTTTAGTGATTTAATGTCAGACAGAGAAATAAAAGGTTTGATGTCTTTTTATACAGCGGATGTAAACTTCTGGTTTCATCTGTATGTCTTTGTGACAGACTTTTGTTTTGCAGTGACTGTGATCAGGGGGTGAGGATGAGCGTAATGTTGTGTTTTTAGGATCTCACATGCAGCACCGACACACACACACACACACACACACACTCCTCACCGCGAGCTGTCGCCACCTCCCCTTCGTGCCAGGCCAGGCAGTGGAAGGCGGTGGGCGCGATGCCGACCGGGAAGCTGATTTCTGTGCCCTGCACCGTGGTCCGAGTGTCGCTCACCGAAACGTCCCGCAGGATCCGAGGCCTCAGACGGATCCTGGATGAACATTAGAACGGTGACAGCTGATTAAATGCAGCAATGCGATGTGACCGGACAGACGGGGCTGTTTGTTTTTGCACAATCTGGGAAATCAAACACCTGATAAAGCAAGACAGGCTTCCACATGCTAACATCTGAGCAGCACAACAAAACCTCAGATGGTCGACACGCTCATGTCGTTTCACTGCATGCTGCCCTAAAATGTTTTAGACTTTACCTCGAAAATTTTATAGAAAATGTCCTGACAGCGCATCAGTTTGATTTTAAACTTGTGCACCAAAACCTTCATCCAGCTTTCTAACCACTTCAAACTGTGCAGGGTCATTTTCTGCTTCTTGTTTTTTTCATTTGGGGAAAAAATAAATAATCCAACCTCCCCCGGATGATAAAATACTTTCGTTTTCTGGGAAAGTTGTTTTTCTTTGAATGTGAAGAGAGACTCTGGGATCCCGTTTTCCCAAAGCAATCATCGTTCAAGGACACAATCTATCCTGAACATCTCTAACCTGACCCACACGGACCGGCAAACGACTCCCTGGTAACGGATCTGTTAAAGCAAAAACAAATATGTACAGTGAAGCGCAAACACAGCGAGCAGTCGATCAGTCTTTATGGAGACGTTAGGAAAGCTGAGAGGAATGCACAAGGAGACATGGGAGGAAAAAAAGAAGTCCTGACAGCATAAAACAACTCGTGACCCTGTGTGTGTCTCCCAGCGGTCAGGCAGCTTTCACAGCTGATTGATGAAGCTGGTAATGTTATGTATTCCACGTCTGAGTGGGGGTTTGGTGGCTACGGGGGGCTGGACCAACACTGCGGCGTCAACAATGGGTGAAATGCGTCCGCCTGTTAGCGATTACACGGCATCACAACAACACATATTGTACTGCACGTACAGAAATCAGTTACAGCCGCGCAAAGTCCACAAAAACAGGCCGCGTGGTCACGTGACCTGCAGCTCCGAGCTGAGACCGCTTTCACATGAACTGTGGCCAGAATGTGGAAATTAGTTTGGGTGGTTTTTTAAAGAGCTCGTGCTCTGCCTTCAGGCGGTTATGGAGATCCTGTGTGCACATACAAGCTCTGCAAGCTGACACAGTCCGAGCCAGAGGGAGGCGTTCTCCCCCACAGACCACAATGCTCCGTCAGTTACTTATTCACATCAGCGTGAGCACGTTTGTGTACGTTGTCTTACTCAGACATCTGGTGCTGCAGCACACAGCCGGTGTTGTCTGGATTTTGCTGGACCAGTTTTCAGACCGAAGGCGAGAGGAGCTGCTGCAGCAACGTACAGCGTGAGAAAAATCCACGTAAACATATTATAGTTGACCCTAAAAACACGATTACAAACCTGTACATGTGCGTAACATGAACCGAGCTGTGCCACCTCAACACGTCTGTACACAGACTGACATGTTTGTACGGTATAATAGTTTTTAAAAAGCATTATTAAAACACTTAATGTTTGTATGTACACGTCTGGGTGAACTTTATTGTCCCTGCTGTAGATAAGGTGACATATTTGTACAATATATTGTTCAGAAATTTATAATCAGAGCACTATGGAAACATTAAATGTGTGTATTACACTCTACACGTGCACATTTGTGTTTTCCTTAGACCAATGCACATTTTACACTTTTACATTTCTACATATGTTTATGTTTTTAGGGCATAGTTCATGTATTTTTTGTACTGCTTTCTGTGATGTCCATGCATGTCTGGGTAAACTTTCTTTGCCGCCCCAACCTCAGATGGACCGACATTTGTACAATATAATATTTAAAAAGAAAAACAAGATTTCTAAATATGAGACCCTATTAAAACACTTAATTTGCATATGTGTTGTCCTTGAAAGTCTGGCTAAACTTTCTGTGTCCACTGTAGATTAAGGGACATATCTGTTCAATATAATGATCAAAAAGAAAACACTTGATTTGTGTATGTGTCGCCCTTACATGTCTGCTGAACTGTATTTCTTCCAGCGTACCTTTTGTAAGCCAGTAGGTTGTCGTCCCTGGTGCAGCATTCGTCCGCTCCAGCTGCATAATAATCCCAGGTGGCCTTTGAGAGATGCTCCTTAGCGTACTCCTCAAAGTCTGTCAGGCATACCATAGCCATCTCTGCACAGCGACCTCCCTCTCTGTGTGGGACAGCAGGTGTTAATGTGACGCTCACTCATATCTGCACGTACAACGAAACGCTACGAAGAACAAGCAGATCATCAGTTATTGATATACTGGTCTAAATGCTGTGAGATAAATCCTACGACATGCTGTAAGCGTTTCCACATGTGCACAGACTGTAAACACAATCACCAGCTGAGTCTGTAGGATGCACAACTCTGCAGACTTTGTTAAACGGAGTTATTTATTTCCAGCAACCGCTCACATTTAATAGTTTTACCAGCTCAGAGCGAAAAAAACAAAACAAACTGCATTAAGTCTCAGCTTCCAAACTTACCGCAAATAACTGATATTTCAAAACAAAATCGCTCGCTCTGGAAACGCTGCAGCCTCTGTGAGGAACTGACGTTGCGACATCGCTGCTCAACCCGAACCTCCCCTCCCATCAGTCAATCAACAACTCACCAATCCAGCACTCGGACATCCGAGCCAGTCAAACAACTGCTTTAGTTTTCCTTCTTCGCCCACCCCCCGTGTCCGTCCTGCGCCAGTCCCCGTGTCGGCGGCGCCGCTGCTTTTGTCTCAATCAGAATCAGACTTTCATAGAGGCTGCTATGAAAGCCACAGACGGCGTGTGTGACCCCAAGGCGACCCCTGCTCTTTATTGTGTTTACACAGGCTGGAAATGTGCTGATGGTGACTGCAGCTATAGTGAGGACAAGAGGCGTCTGACGCGGTGTTCCAGATGGAACATGTATGGATGTGGGTGTACGTATTTACACCCTCACGGTCCTGTGCTGTCACACAGGGGCTGGTTTAATGTGAAATCTGCTCATTTAGTCATCCTCACATCGGTAAATATTTTAAATGATCTGCCTTTTAATAACCTCATGATAAAGCAGTGAGTTCATGCACACAGAGGGGTTAAATGTGAATCTGTGAGGAGGAAGACCAGACTGCAGACGGTAGAAACAAGGCCTGAGGAACACGTGTGGTTCTTCTGACAGACGCTGCAATGTAAGCGTTTAAAAGCCAATCCTCAATTCAATATACATTTTTTCAAAGACTGAAAACACGTGATTGAGCTTCACCACATGTGACACCATCAAAAGCGTGACGGTCCCATACAGGGGACGACAGGAGTTTGTAAACCATCGACATGTCCGTTTAAACCTCGTGTCAGCCTGAGCCACGTCATGTAAATCAATCAGTGATTAAGAAGCAGGAAACATCCCCTGGAAGCTCCAATGAGCTCAAATAAAATAAAATAAAATAAAATAATCGCATTAGTCTCAAGTGGAATAGCGACACCTTGTGTATCCACAAACTATTTGCTAATTGCTTTGTTTAAAATTAGGTTTTTAAAAAATATTTTGTGCAACACTTTTTGCACCTTTTGGTCATTTGAATGATAAAACATGTAAAATAAAATGTACTAAAATAAAACATTCAAATTCAAATTCTGAGAAGAATCAAAGGACAATAACAACCCACTGAAACAGGCCAAACCCTAAACACACCAGAGCTCCAACAATTAACTGATTAGATGTCAACAATTTAATCAACCAACTATCTCCATCATTAGTTGATAGCTTGCTTATTAAAATAATAATAATATTAAGTCTAAATTCTCTGATTGTAGCTTCTTAAATCTGAATATTCTAGTTTATTTCCTCCTTAATATCTTTGGCTTGTGGACAAAACAAGATATTTAAGGTCATTTAGGGCTTTGGGAAACACTGATCAACATTTTTCACTATTTTTTGACATTTTACATGAAAGCAACCAACCAGATTTTACACCAGACCGATGAACTACTCGACTTTTGGAGAGAACAGAAGAAAACTGTTAAGTAATCATTAACGGTAGCCCTAAACTTTAATTTAATTTATGCTCCAACACTCCTGCCATACACAACAAGTAGTTTGCATTTTCTTTAATGTCTTTGCATTTACTCAACTAAACTCTCTACAGAAACTCAAAGTCTGAGGATAATAAATTGCGTTTTCATATTCTGACTTTGTGTGGCCTTGTTTTTTTAAGTGATTAGATCAGTTCATGCCTGCAGTAACAGTGCTGATGTTGTGTAATGAGCCACCCAGAGAACACAACATTTGGTAAAAATAAAAATGTGCTGACAGCTATGACGGTGCAGGAATTATCCTACAATCTGACCCACTGATTTCACTCCAGTAAAAAACACTGCACACAACAGCTCAGCTTACCATTTTGCTTATATTAGCTTAAATTTGAGGCTAACAGAGCTTCATTAGACCACAGCAACATGTCAGAGGTCTGGATTCTGCTGCTGTTTAATTAAGCCAAAGGGGAGAACAAAAAAACAACAACACAGTTTGATTTTAGGAGCTCTATATATGAGTTGGTTGAGCTCTGAAAATAAAATACAACTTGTTAGCTAAAGCTAAAGCCTGCTAATAATTGTTGTAGCCAGCCAAAACTAACTTCTTTTTTTAAACACAAGTTTATACACATGACATACTTTGCATTACTATCTAATAGAAAATAGAGAAATTATTAGACATCTTACATATGTCATATTTATGTTTTTAAACGACCTGATCCCTGCATTCAAACCCAATGCTAACCGCAGATGAATGCTAAATGCTAGCGAGCAACAGATGATTTAACGCGACGCTGCCTTTGTTAGACACTTACCAGGTACAGGTGGCCGATTTTTCCCCCCCAGTCGGGCGACAAAGAAGCAGAACGTCGCCGGTTTCATCTCAGGTGAGGAACCAAACATGGTTGTTTTCGGTTTTTGGAGGTAGTTTAGCAGCTAAATTAGCGTAAAATCCGACCGTTATATGAAGACATATTTGAGTTTGGGCGTAGCCGGCGCGCTCACCTTGACGGGTGTGTCCTCACAGGTGGGGTTTTAAAAAAAGATGGCCTGAGAAAATGTCCAGGTCCTATTTTGAGTTTATACAGCTTTTATCCATCCCTTAAAAATACGATTCAGAAGTCAAATGCGCTTATTTGTTTGTTTATATTCATATTTACGTGTAAATGTGACAAATAGACCCCCCTCTGTGCTGAGGCCTTTGGTTCCTCCCAGCTGCTCGGTCGGGCCTGCTCTTCGTTAATTACGTGTTTTAATGACAAATTTAAGCTAACGCCACGAAAACGGTGAGATTTTAGCAAATACGTGAATCAATAAGAGCTTTAGAATTTAAAAATGACTCACAAATAATTAAAATTAGGCTCAGTTTGTCGTAGTTAGCAGCTATTGTTTACACCGCCCTTTCAAAATCAAGATTCAAGATGGACACCGTTAGCATAGCAGCTAATTCGTGTAAGTAAAAAAAAGCAACTAAAATGTTAATATTTTTAAAATTGACTTTCTTTTCTTTGACGGTGACCTTAACTAATCAAAGCAAGTTGTTAATAAACTTATTTCAACTGCAGCTGTTGAGCTAAAGCGCTTTCTAACTGACAGAATGTGTTAGATGCTAAATATTAACGCTAAAACTACAATATTATGTTTTATAGAAATGCACTTAACGGAACTGAATATTGTGGTTAAAGCACTGCAGTGTTATTTATCATACAAATTCACTTGAATAATTTAAATATTAAGATTAAGACTACAATAATATAATGTGTAGAAATTTACATATCTGATTGAAATATTAATTTTAAGACCCTACAATAACGTATGTTGTGATAATTTGACTGACTGATTTACATTAAGTTAAGGTTAAGACTACAATAATATATAGAGCAATTTACACACCTAATTTGAATATTAAGGTCATAACTCTATTAGGCCTCGTGTAGTACAAACCTAAATAATAAAGTTAGAACCCAACAATATTATATATCTGGCCAATTTAAAAATTAATTATACATTTAAAAAATAAAAAAACAAGACACAAGAAAAAACTACCTGAGCCAATAAATCCAAACAGTCCAGGCAGAAAAAGCATCGTTGGCAAACTACTTTGATAAAACTGCATTTTTCTGAGCGTTTTATTGTTTTCTATTGGTGAGATCTGCTGAGCTTTTAGGCATCGCCTCAATAACACACATTTATAAAGTGGAGAACAAATAAACGAGGCCCTTTGTAGAAATTATCTGTGTTTGTATGACGATTTCTGACTTTTCATGACAGTCCAGTTGGACTGTTCCCCTTTAAAAACTACTGCAAAGAGAAAACCTGAAACATCTTCATGTTTTTTTCTCTTTTACTTGTATGTTTATATTCTATATATTTGCACTATTTTAAATGTCCCCACACCAACCTCAGTAACCCTGCTTCTTATTATAAATACTGCTATTTATTGCTCTGATTCTTATTTTATTGCTCTTCTAGTTCATTTCTTTCAGGTCTTACGCAGAGAGCTGGAGTCAGATTCCTTGTTTGTGTGTGCAGACGAGGCCATATGAATATATTGCTGAACTGCAAATTCACGTAATCGACTTTAACAGCAGCTGTGTGTCAGAAATAGAAGCTCAGAGACGCTAATGAACGTTATTGTTCTTCACTGACAGGAGGTGGCGCTGACGAGCCTAAAACAACATCGGTGCACCTGCGTGTTTGGAGAGAGTGAGGAGCTAATCAGTAAGTACAGCGTCTTAATGAGACCACACCGTTTACTCACCGATTACAAATACTCATTCTCTCTCAGCCAAACTTCTTCTCTCCAGTCGACTCATAACCTGTGAACAGAAAGTCACTGCTGTTACTGATACGA